GCTGGGACTTTAATTCATTTAGTTGGGTTATTTTGAGGGGGTAATTTGGTGGGATGTAAACTGAGCAGATCGTGATTGGTCTGTGCAATCCCAGTTTGAGAAAGTGGGAAAGTAGGAAAGAGGGCAGCGCTGGCAAAGAACGCTGAGAGAAGGGAGACAACTTACCCTGATGAGGATAGTAGCTCCTGCCAAAAGCTCCGCGGGGTGACCTTCCTTTACCATGGCGAGTGAGCACAGGCACCCGGCGGCTCTCTTTCCGGGCACACATTTCCTCAACGCACTGTCAAACAAAACGGAAAAAAACCCCCAAGTGGTCGTTTTCTTTCTGTGTAAGTTCGATTTTAATCTTATGCTTTGTTTTAACAAACAGTTTTACGGCGTTTGCAACACAATTAGGTCATATGAGTACCGAAGCTTAGAAGTGTTACATAAGAGTAACAAAAAACCCCAAAACAACAAAAAACAAACAACAAAAACAGTACGAAAACGACAAAAAAGCGACAACAAACAAAAGAGGGGAGATGAAAGAAGGGACAGACTACAGCCCAGCACCCACCAACCACCCACGAGTTTTACGTTTGAGCAAAGAAAAGCTCATCAAGATAACTGCGGTCTCAAAATGCAAGGGGGGGGAGGGAGAGGAAGTGAGATACGCGGACAAACAACAGAGGGAGAATAAAGAAAAAAGGACCCAACTGAGGCACCCTCAAACCACCCACTTGATGAGCTCAATATCGTTCTAGACAGACATAGTTTAGATGACAGTTTCTAAGTGGTGCTGTGTCCGTCAACGCTGGGACCCACGGTCGAAAGGAAGTAAGAAATACAATATCTATGGTAGATCTAAGTGAAATTTTCGCCACCACTACTGCAGAAAAGTTCTGGCTAACGGGTGGTGCCCCATACTTGGTGGAGTTGCTTCCCGTGCTCTGGGATATTCAATGGACTTTTTATATCCTTAAGCCTGTCCAGAGCGGTAGCGCTGTTGTTCGACGTTTATTTTGGTTTCAAGACCCCAGAGATCACGGGTTTCCTCACATCACACGCCAATCGCCAACCATAAGAGAGAGAGAGAGAGAGAGAGAGAGAGAGAGAGAGAGAGAGAGAGAGAGAGAGAGAGAGAGAGAGAGAGAG